GAACGACTTCGTGCCTATAATTCGGATCGTGAGAATGCAGCTCAAAGTTTCTCGCGACGACGACGACGCGGCGCGGCGGTGTCGGCGTCGCGCAAACGTGCCACAGCGGCGGGTTTACTACGCCAGCCGTTCTAGATTTTCATGGGAGATTGTTTATAATGCAAGAGAGAGGATGTGTGGACTACTTTGCGAGCCGCGAGTCGCCGGTTGATCACAGAACGCTCGGACGTTCCACATGTAGGAACGGGGAGGCAGACAGGCAGGCAGAGGAGGCAGACCCGTAAAACCGAGGAAACGATCATCGTCCTCTTTGCCGGCCGCTCTTTCTCCCATCGTGTAAACACAGCGCGGGAAATGACTAGCGCGCAGACAAATTGTTTGAATCTCGTTACGTACCAAATAAAGTAGGTTAAGACTGCCGTAAAAGGTCGAAGACCAGCGCAACGATCGACGCCGCCGACACGTTCGAACGTGCCACCGTTGCGCCGCGATCGACGTTTTATCTTTCAAAATCGCGCACCTCTTCGATTTCGTCGGGCCCTTCGATTTAACCCTTTGCGCTGCTGCGACGCGGCGGATACGATATTTACGACACTAGGGAGCAATGGAATATAATATAAATATAAAAATAAAAGAAATAAAAGCAATAAATATCAAAATAAAATAAATACATATATAAATAAAATAAATAAACATAAAAATAAAATTAATAAAATAAATAAATATAAAAATAAAATAAATAAATATAAAAATAAAATAAATACATACAAAAATAAAATAAATACATACAAAAATAAAATAAATAAATATAAGACGTTGTCGAATAGCTAGGACATCGCAAATCGAAGGAAAAGTTTTGTGCTGGCCGATGGTTTATCGAAGAAATGTATTTTTTATTTTATTGAACATTTTTTTATTTTGCATCGTGATCCGCAGTCTAGTTCAGAGAAACTGCAATCCGGTTGCTTGCAACCGGACTGCGTATTTGACGCACGTGTGACGAGCATGAGTAGCTCGAATGCAAAATACCGGAAACGTGTAAACAATTTGACGACATTGCTGTTCTCGATTGATTAAAATTGTCCGGAAAAGAGATAAATGTGTCCCCGTGTTCCTGCGTCTTGCAATTAACGGAGACAATCATGATTTCGCAAAATCATTCGCAGATCGGCGGTGTACTTGTAACAGTTGTCAAATTCGACGCATTTATGGCGGAAAGAAAGCAGCAGAACATTTAACTAATTTGTTGACGCGTTTAACGAACGTGTTACCGTATCATTGTCGTTTCACATCGTTCAGAGTTTCGCTGCAATCAAGTTTTCCCACGAGATTGTTCTCGCGGCTCGCGTAAAACGAAAACGCTGCTACCGAAGCATCGGAACAGCGGAACGCTTCGTGGCCGTTGTAGCAGATAGTAATTAGCAGAAACGTCGAATCCGTCTCGTAACGGCATAATATTAATAGCCGCGAACAATAATTTGCGAATAATGACGGCTCGTTCCGCTTCCTCTGCGGCCGAGCCGCAATTTTCGCGTTAAGCGTCTCGAAGCATTTCACACCATTTAACGCAGCATCGGTGGTAGCGGCATAGAGAAGTATATATTAATAGCATAATTGCATCGGTATCTCGGATCAAACTAGAATCGGAAACGGTGTTCCTTGGAAACTCCGGCCGCCGCTGTCGGCCGGCTCCTGTGAACTTCCTGCATATCTATCTGAGCTTACGAGAACACCGCGCAGAAATCATTTTCCTAGATGTTAATTAGGTTTTCAATTTCATCCTTTTGTTTTGCTAAGCTCGTCCATTGTATGCGGCGTTGTGTTGGCCAAGGAACGGACGCGCGCGATTCTCGACGCGGGAATTCGGTGCTTCCAACGTTTGGCAATGGTTTTGCGCGATATTGCTGAAACGCGTTCGAATGATCGTTCATTTTTATAGAAAAGTGAATGATTTAATAGTTTGTTAAGCGCGTCGAACAGTTTTCGATACGCGAACGAATGAATATAATTGACAAAAGTATGAATATAATTTGCGAAAGAATAAATATAATTTACAGAAGTATAAACATAATCTGCAGAAGTATGAACATAATCTGCAGAAGTATGAACATAATGTGCAAAAGGACGAGTATGATTTGCAGGAAGAATTTAATTAGCCAAAGAACTACGCGAAGGAATATGAAAAGGACGAATATTCAGGACGAGCCTGTATTGCGAAATTAATAATTCTGCGGAAAGATCCGTCGTTGTTCGATTGTTCCGTTATTTCTAGAAAATGAAAAGACTGATTTTTTCGGATGACGACAACAGAGTATGCACAAGAGTGTATTGTTCGATGCGCAGCAATCTGGTCGGAGGAAAATCAACATTTAATAACGGTAGAACGATGGCGTTGTTCCTTTATCTTCGTGGAAATGCGCGAGTCGCGTTAATCATTGCCCCTGTCAACGGTCTTAAGAAACACCTTCATCGATTGCTACACGAGGATGCACCGATGCAAGATGCACGTCGCCAGCATCGGCGACGATTAAATGCTCCTGCGTTCGGCTCGCGGTTACCTGTTCGCGAAACACGGTCAAATTTTGGATAAAGATTGGTCAACTTTGAGAGATGATAACTTCGTGAAAAATCATCGTAGGATGACGATTTTTCTTTTAAATTGAACCTTGAAACCTCTACTTTGAGACGGTAATTATCGATTTTATGTTTGATGCACTTTCGTTACAATAACTCTTTAAATGCAAGGCCGTATTTGTCTCATTGAAAATTGACAAGTTTGACGAAATGCATGAACTTTGTAAAATTTTTTTCAGGGATGCCGTTTGCAGTTTAATAAAGTTCGATCCTTCCTCTTTAATTTAAAAAAAAGAAAACGCGGCTGCGATTTTTTTTCGCGAAGTTACAGCAGTTTGAAGCGACCCTTGCATATTTGTGCAATGCGATTTGTACAATATGTATACAAATATTGTACAAATATGCAAAGGTCGTTTTAAACTGCTGCAACTTTGCGAAAAAAAATCGCAGCCACGTTTCCTTTTTTTTAAATTAAAGGGAAAGGATCGAACTTTGTTCGATTACAAACGGCATCGCCGAAAAAAATTTTTTAAAGTGCGTGCATTTCGTCAAACTTGTCAATTTGTATATTGTACAAATCGCATTGTACAAATATGCAGGGGTCGCTTTAAACTGCTGTAACTTTGCGAAAAAAAATCGTACCCGTGTTTTCTTTTTTTCAGCTTAAAGAGGAAGAATCGATCTTTATTAAACTGTAAACGGCATCCTTGACAAAAATTTTACAAAGTTCGTGCATTTCGTCAAACTTGTCAATTTTCAATGTAACAAATACGGCCTCGCATTTAAAGGGTTATTGTAACGAGAGTGCATAAAACACAAAATCGATAATCACCGTCTCAATGTAGTGGTTTCAAGCTTCAATTTAAGAAAAAAATCGTCATCCTACGATGATTTTTCACGAAGTTATCATCTCTCAAAGTTGACCACTCTCCACCCACAATTTTTCGACGCTACATACGTCCCAATTTTCAAGATCGTTGCACAGCTTCGCATGACCTATATCCAGTAAAAAAGCAGCTAAAATATCAGCGCAAAGAACCCAGGTCCAAAGCGTTAAGGTTCCTCTCGCGGAGATCAGCGACGCTTCCGCGACGATAAAATCGCGTCAAAGCAACAGCACGCGGTTCGTTGCTCCGTCGACTCTTTCTTTCCTCGATCCGATCGCCTTCCACAGAAATAATTGCTGTTTGCGATCACGATCCTATTTTCCGTCGCGATCGAACCGAACGTTATCCATCGCTCGACGATTAATTCCGCCGATCGTTCTGCCTCGCGTTGGCACACGTTGCTCACGTGTCGCGCTGGTATTTCACGTGGGCGCTACGTTCTCCCAGAGACGTGTTCTGCGATCGTTCTCCAACGGGCGACGGAATCAGCTCCGTTGTTCCGCGAGCGCACAATGCCAGGCTGATCCTTTCCGCTTCTATCTCCGCCGCGGCTCATATTCCGGACTGCAACAATGCGCATAAGGCGTCCCACTTGGTCCTGTTGCTCGTACAACCGATTAGTTGATAAACGCGTTTCAATCCATGCGAACTGACGCGGGCAAGCGTTTTTCATTTTCTCGCAGTAACAATGCTGCTGCACGGAGTACATATATCGCTGCGAGTGTCTCCCAGGAAACATAACTGTTGCAATCGCGATGAAAACAGTCGTTGCGTAACGATGATTATTTTCATCGAAACGCTTTCCTTTCATCGATTACAGTTTCTCGCGATCGAAATTTTTCTTGTCCACGATGGTTAGACCGAGCTTTTTATGCGTTTATGACGAGAGTGAGTCTGTGAAAAATGAAGTGTTATGAAGATTAAAAGAATTTAAGGGTAGCGGTGGATTATCATCTATTTGTTTAAGTGATTGTAAGAAAAAGTAGAGCCTTTTTTGGTTCCAGAAGATAGCAATTGAATATATATGCATTCGCAGTCCGATTGTTATTAACGAACAGGCAGACTTGTTTATTATATTTGTGTTTAAGTGTATATATTGTTATGGCATATGTCATTATTAAGTATATACATTATTATAACAAAAATCAGCGAAAGAAATATGGACCAGAAAGAATTTAAGAATGTCGATGCATTGCAGCAAATTCTCTCCAATTGTCCCTCGGCTTTTAAACGAAAATGGACAATTTAGAAAGAGCAGGCTCGAATAATCGTGCCTGCTCTCCCTAAATTGCCCATTTTCGTGTAGAAGCTGAGGGACAATTCGGGAGAATTTACTGTATTCTCAACTCTCAATTAAAATTGTTCAAGGAAAAAAGCTGCTTTCTGACCAGCTGCAGCTTCTTGAAATCGATGCAGGCAATTTTGAAAGTGTCTTATCTGCTAACCTGCCTCTTTCCAAGATATTTCAAAATATCTGAAACATCGCGCGCCTTCTACTTTCTGAGCAAACATAAAACTATCCTGTACACTCCAAAAAAATTCCAAATGAAATTTCATTCATTTATTTTCGCTCATTCGGAAATAATTTAACCGATCGAAAGCTTCGTTTGTCGAGCGATCACGAACGTTAGGACAATTTCGCTACGTCGGGCAGTGCAGTTGCAGCGACAATCGTATTGGTCAGCAGTCGTCTATGAAAACGGGACACCCGTTGCACAAACGAGGAGCCTTGAGGCGCGCGAGTCCGCGGGGGAAGAAACCGATTTGCATCCCGAGGAGGCGTGGGTTTATCGAAGGCAACCGCGTGCTGTGCACGGTCCACCCGATGAATTCGTTGCTGTTTTCTTGCCGCGCGAGGACTCCTCTCTCATATTGGCATTAGCGTCGCTTCCCGAGCTGCGGCACGCCGCGCCGCGGCCGCTGTATTTGTATCATCGCGAAGTGACGCAACCGGTGAAAGCCGACGGATTCCGCGAGGTAAAGTTCAGCGAGCGTATCAGTGTGGGAATCAGGCGACTTTTCTACGCTCGAACTACGAGAGGAACGCATCGATCACTCATTGCCACGCTGTTGCAAGGTGATTCCTGGATAATGGTGCCGACGAACCTGCTGTTCCATTTTCACCTTTTTTTTTGGTTTACAGTTCGCTCTCTTCGCGTTGACCGCGATTTTTTTTCATCTTATCTTTCAGCGAGACGTTTTTTCAAAAAATGTACGCTTCGAAACGGAGCATGCGGAATTATAACTGTACCGTGCTTATGGCAAAATGGGTATCTGCAATTTAAAAGAAAAATTAAATGAAGTTTAAAACGCTAAGATATTATTTTCGCTTAATTGAAATGATCGAAGGAAGGAATAACTTTTTATCGAGTTTAGACTGCTTGCAATGGATGTAACCAGATGGATTTGACTTACCACTGTACTGCACTTATGGCAAAAATGGGCCTCTACAATTTAAAAGAAAAATTAAATGAAGTTATAAACGCTAAGACGTTATTTTCGTTCGATTAAAATGATCGAACAAAGGAATAACTTTCTATTTTGGATTTCGACTGCTTCTAATAAATCTACCTACAACTAGACCGTGAATTTTATGCATTTAAAAATGAATAACATCGAATAGAACACGCGAAATGCAAGACAAAAATTAAACAGTGCTGTTCCATCGTTTTCATCCTATTAAGAATGAAGAAAAAGAAGACGCAAAATAGATTTTTTTTTCAAATCCTGCACGCTGCCACCGAGCTAGAGAATTTTTATTTTGCACAAAGATATCCGCGGTCTAGTTGTTGCTAAATATCTTGTTCCTGAAAACGTATTCCGTGGTCAAGGTGGTCGGCCACTTTCGCCGCTGTCCGCTGAAATTCCCGCTGAAATATTTTTGCCCCGGTAAAATTCCATCGACGGGAATCACTCTGTATAATTGTGGCTGCGGGTAAACTATCGATTGAAGTGCGTCCCGAAGAACGTCAAGGTTCGATATGATTTATAATGCTCACGTGAATCGGTCTATCAGAAGTCAAATAGCCGACCGTGTAATCCACTCTGCAATAATGCCGGCGCGGTATAGGTTGCTCCTTAAATTATGGATCAAACTTTTGCTACGTATCTTGAGTAGAAATTGTTAGCGCTATGATTACCTTGTCTTACTCAATCATTCCACTCGTTCCTTCAATTTCAGCACTCTAAAAAGGCTCGGCTGCTTTTCGAAACTGTTCCGCGCGCAATTGCTCGCCGCCATCTTATGGCGAAATCATCCACCTTACGGAGCATGGAAACCATAGAAAATTCGACTGGCTTATCGTCAGTTTGGTTAATCGTTTACACGTTATAATTTCTGATATTCCACTGGTTTTATCGACGCTCGAACGGCAGCCCTTTTTTACAACAAAATTACTCTGTTCGCTTGGGACATTTTTCATCGATTTATTTGTTCAACATATATATAATATGTTGAATATATATTCAAACTCAATATATATACAAATTCAGTATATATACAAATTCAATATATATACAAATTCAATGTATATATAAATTTGTTCAACATATTTTTTAACGCGGTTCTTCTGCGCGCGTCAGTTCTTCTACAATAAAAAATGATTTATATATATATATATATATATATATATGATTTAAATATCGTGGGAATTTTTAATTTTAATTTTAATTTTTAATAAAAAAGAATGTTTCGCAAATAGCATCGAATTGTCGGCGAGAAACGAGAGAAACGATGGAATCAAGAAGGCGACGCGACATTCTGAATTCCACTGTGAAAACGCAACGCGTTAATTCGAACTTCCGGGTAGCATATGTAATCGGTACAATGCTGTCTTCCGAGTTTATTACGGACTCATTATTCCGATCGGTTCAAGTTCGACGTACACGATTCAATTCCGATCTTCTCTCGGACGTTCTGCCGCGGTATCATTGAATGAATCGTTGCGTAACGCGTCTTCGACGGGTATAACTTCGCTAATAACAGCTCGCCGGGGCTTATGCTTCGGCATGACTTCATCGGTTTCAAGTACGGACACCTCTGAACTTCGATGTCGTTCGCATGCCGACAACGATCAGTTTGCTTAGGGCACGTTCGTTACGAGCAGTCTCATCGATCGCGAACGTTATCCGGAAAATTGAAATTTTTAATTTGATCTCTCGTCGCGGAAACTTCGAAGAATCGACGTTTGTTCGCGTCGAGATTTTTTCCCTCTCGCGTCGCGGCACGAAAATTGCATCTCAAAGCGATTCGAGCCGATTCGTGGAACCGGCCGCAGTCCTCAAATTGCAAGAGTTCCTTCATACTCGACGATAATGAAACTTTGTATTACGCGTCCGTCTACTCGAAACGATGCTCTTGTAATTCACTGACACGATTCGCGAAACCAATCATCCGATTCACTTCGGAGACAAACGTCTTCAGCAGAAGTTATTTTCTTACGTGTACACGATCTAACAAGAATATTACTCAATTGGCGCCTGCGACGATTCTAATTTGCTTTTAGTACGGTAGAACTTACAAAACGCGTCCAACGCGTAAGTACGTTCTCGTGTCGTCGATGACGGAGGCGTGAAAACATTCGACGATGAAATTTCATTTAATATTCCTTCCGAGTGGGTTCTAAAATTTTTCGGGTCTAGAACACAAGATTTATCGTTAATTATTAACGCGTGAAATAGTTGCCGATGAAATGGAAAGAAAATGGCGAAGAAGTAATTTCATTCTAGTCAAAATAGTTTTAATATAATAGTTCATTCTAATCAAATCATTCTAAAATTTTTCGAGTCTAGAACACAAGATTTATCGTTAATTATTAACGCGTGAAATAGTTGCCGATGAAATGGAAAGAAAATGGCGAAGAAGTAATTTCATTCTAGTCAAAATAGTTTTAATATAATAGTTCATTCTAATCAAATCATTCTAAAATTTGTCGAGTCTAGAACACAAGATTTATCGTTAATTATTAACGCGTGAAATAGTTGCTCGCTGTGCAACGAGATAAAATGGAATAAAAAGACGATAAAAGACGATGAAATGGAAATAAAATAGCGAAGAAGTAATTCCATTCTAGTCAAAATAGTTCTAATATAATAGTTCATTCTAATCAAATCATTCTAAAATTTGTCGAGTCTAGAACACAAGATTTATCGTTAATTATTAACGCGTGAAATAGTTGCTCGCTGTGCAACGAGATAAAATGGAATAAAAAGACGATAAAAGACGGTGAAATGGAAAGAAAATAGCGAAGAAATAATTTCATTCTAGTCAAAATAGTTCTGATATAATAGTTCATTCTAGTCAAATCATTCTAAAATTTGTCGAGTCTAGAACACAAGATTTATCGTTAATTATTAACGCGTGAAATAGTTGCTCGCTGTGCAACGAGATAAAATGGAATAAAAAGACGATAAAAGACGATGAAATGGAAATAAAATAGCGAAGAAGTAATTCCATTCTAGTCAAAATAGTTCTAATATAATAGTTCATTCTAATCAAATCATTCTAAAATTTGTCGAGTCTAGAACACAAGATTTATCGTTAATTATTAACGCGTGAAATAGTTGCTCGCTGTGCAACGAGATAAAATAGAATACAAAGACGATAAAAGACCATGAAATGGAAATAAAATAACGAAGAAGTAATTTCATTCTAGTCAAAATACTTCAATTGTCGTAATCAATTGTTATTGGATTTAATCCTTGAACGCGTATACGTAGTTGCAATAATGCACTCGACGGTTTAAAATTCAACGAGCACCTAATTTTCGTGCACCTAATTTTCTACGCAAGTAATTAAAGTATTGCATTTACAATAGAAACGAGCATACCGATTTCCACGTTCACGTTCGTTCTTCCTGTTTCTAGTTCGCGTACACTCGCGAGCGAGGATGATCCGTGTCTACCTCGGCACACAATGCAGCCGCTTGTAAATACGCTGGTTAGGCTGTCCTTTCATGAACTGTAAACGGTTTCGATTGTAACGCGCATTTTCATCGCATGATTCGAATACCGATGAGACCCCGTTAACGATCATCTCGCCTCGCTCGGCGACGGGCTGTTTTATGCACAGTGTGGGACAAACGTTACCTTCTCGCTTCGATCGAGAGGATCGCACAGTTTCGCAGCGATATTCGCGTCTTCTATTCACCTGGAATTCGACATCGAGTTCCATAATTCGTAATTTTGTTGGAAATGCTAACGGCGAACGAGTCCGCGTAGTTAATATTACACGAACAAAAAATTGTATTACGTTATAAATGAAATAAATCGTGCGACAAGAGCGTTAAATAAATTGTAGATAGAATTCTCATAAATCCAATATAAATTATAGCTGAATCGTCACTGGCACGCGGTTCAAGGTTTACCGATAAAAATATGATCGCAATATCAAATTTATTATTATATCTCCTAAAAATGTCTAGTAATAACTGAACCAACGAATGCGACAAATCCGTAGTCCGCAGACAAATCCTTTTTATAGTTGTTGACAATCGGTGATTATAAAAGTGAGTCAATTTTTGCGTGCAATCTGAGTGTTAATTAGCGAGAATTTATTGCAATCTTTATTTGTGCAAATATTTCAATGTCTACTATTTAATATTCTTTTAATATCCTTTAATATTCCTTTAATATCCTTTAATATTCCTTCAATATCCTTCAATATACTTTAATATCATTTAATATCATTTAATATCCTTTAACATCTTTTAATATCCTTCAATATCCTTCAGTATCCTTCAATATTCTTTAATATCATTTAATATCATTTAATATCCTTTAACATCTTTTAATATCCTTTAATATTCCTTTAATATCCTTCAATATCCTTCATTATCCTTCAATATTCTTTAATATCATTTAATATCATTTAATATCCTTTAACATCTTTTAATATCCTTTAATATTCCTTTAATATCCTTCAATATCCTTCATTATCCTTCAATATTCTTTAATATCATTTAATATCATTTAATATCCTTTAACATCTTTTAATATCCTTTAATATCCCAAATACTTCCCAAATTGTCCATTTTTGTGTACAATCTGTGCGAAAGAATGAATGATTCTGCGAAAGAATGAATGATAGACCGATGGGACTACCCCACGTATCGGAGGGGCCTTATCTTCGCGCGCGCGTATCAACTTCTTAGTATAATAGAAACTCTATCCGGAGTACGCTTCTGGAATCGAGAATTCTGTTTCGCGATGGAACAAGGATAACGGCTTTCAGCTATACCGATCGATCGACATTCCTCGAAAAGTATCACGAATTATCATCATCGCCGATACATAGATCGGTAGATGATACGATAGATAAAACAACCGCTATGCACTCGTTGCATCTCGTTCGCGATCTTTGGCATCGCGGCAATAATAATTTCTTACGCAACCCGTCCCGTATTTTTTCTCTTCCCTGTTTCGCATAACGCCGGATCCGTTAAAATCACGGATAATTGTGTCACGATAGAAACGCGAGCACACGTTTCCGCGCGTACACACACACAGCCGCGGCGGACCCAATTCGAGACGCGAGTCCGTGGATTCCATTCGTGTGTACTTACGTATGCACGCCCACATTAAACGTATTACCATATTTATTGCTTCGCCGGGTAATATTTATGTCCGCGGACGAGTACGTCACGGATGAATGATTTGTAGATGAGGTCAGGCGTTTAGGGTAAGTGCACCGGCGCACGCATGTTCGCGGGACAGGGTTGGAAACGATTTCTCGAAAAAAAGAAAAAAGAAATAAACGACGTCGGCTGCTCCGATCCACGGTGCACAGTAAATTCTCCCTAATTGACGCGCTGATTGCGCAAAAAAATGGACGATTTCGGAAGAGGAGACGCGATTATCCTAATCGGTAACTATAAAAACGTGTATACACCGATCGAAAGAATTACAGCAGAGAAAAATGTTCGACAAATATCGGGCGACTTCGATCGGCGACAACTCCGCGAAAAATCATCGTAGGATCATGATTCTTTTTTAATATTAAAGCTCGAAATCTCTAGTTTAAGACACTGTTCCTCGATTTTAAGTTTCACGCAACCTCGCTATTGTAAGACTTTAAATGCGAGGACATGTTTTGTCAAGGCGACCGACGCAACGAGCGATCGAAGTCCAATTCCGTTAATTGGTCACTGATTTTCGTTAATAATTCGTAAACGAAGCCGCGAATTGCATTCTCGCTAAGGAAAAGGTTACTTCGAATTACCCCAGGAACCATCCCTTGGGTGTTAAAATAATTATGGGACATCCTTGCGCTCGTGCGTCTATTGTGTCCGCGAGATCTACAATTTTGCGCACATTTCCGAAGAATCGCAAGCACGTCTCGCGCGTATCTCCGCCGGGAATTTCAGCTCGGACGTCACACGTGTTGCAAGGATCTAAAAGTCTCCACGGAATTGAGCGGTGTGTTGCTGTATCTCGATCTAATTAAGCTAGCTCGATCGGAACTCGCTTTCGCAATGCGAACAAGATCG